GTACGAACCCTTCATACGAACAAAGGTAAGAGAAATTTAGGATAAGAATATGAACATGTTCTTGCATGAGGCCCAATGTTCTCAAGGAAGGCAGAAGCAAACCCAAAAATACGTTATCTCACCCTTTTAACTTAGTATTGGTTTTTTTCTGTGATTTTTTGGTCAAGCGTAGGATAGAAACAACTGGACAGATCAACATGAAATTTGGCAGAAATGTAGATGTGTCCGACCCACACTGCACGGGTCAACAGTTTTACGATAGACCCCACCTTTGAGGATGGAGCTCCACCTAAATTGGGGGTATCTGGAAATACAAAAATGCTTAAAACTCAAAGTTTATTCAACATAGGAGCTTCAGATTATTTTTACTGTTTAGCTCTGATGAAGGGCTATCCATTGAGCCCACCAATGAGCACCCCCCACCCCCTCCAGACCCCCCATCAAAAACAATAAATTCATTCTGGTGACATTGGCGTTCTGGTGCATTGGTGCTTTGCGTACGTGCCGGGATCATATGTGCGGTATCTATTTTTTGTTTGTTTGTTTTGTTGTTTTCCACACAATTCAGCAACACTTACGCATCTTATTATAAATAAAAGTTTACTTTTTCAAATTTAAGTGCCTCATCTGAGAAACTTTCAGGTACTGACTATATACAGTACAGCACTGTAAGGACAAAAATAAAACTAAAGAAAATTCATACACTAAAAATAACAATAAACCATATTCTATTGTCATGAATTTCATTAAAAAATAAAACCTTGTTTTAATCAAGCCACATTATGAACATAGCCTGTTACATATTTGTGTTTTGTTTTTTTTTACAGCAGCATGAAGTGGCTGAGCCTGGCTTTCTCTCATATTACGGGGGTGTGTGTTTCTCTGACTGCTTGACTCTCTTCCCAGCACTGATTGTTGCTGGTATGTGCTGATTTGAATCCCAACCAGTTCCTTCTTTTCATTCCTCGTTTGGGGGGGGGGGGGGGGTGAAAGCGCGAGCCGCAGAGCATGCCCTCTCATGGCAACGAGTCTGCCTTTAGCCGGGGATCTCACCCACGAACCAGGGAAGCGAAGACCTGGAACTAATTACTCTAACGAGTTC